GGATATTGGATGAATATCTTAACACTCCTGGTTAGCTGTTTTTTTCTATAGCAAGTTGAACTTCTACGGGATGTAGTCGCTAATCCCATACCAAACCCTCTTCCTTTATTTCGCCTTAGGACCGGTAATAAACTCTAGAATGGCTGCAGGAGGAGTTGCATCTGTCACGTGCTTTGATAAAAATCAGACCAGTTACTATTTCATGTCTCTTGTAGATTTGTATTACGGGGTTGTGAAGATTGTTAAGTTTTTGGAAACTATGAATCGATCAATGTTAGACCAACATTAGAAACCTGGAAGCACTGGAAGAGGGCTGTTTCATCCTGGTATGGGACTTCTCAGCAGTGCGCACCCACGACTCCTGTACCCCGCAGGATTCGAACCCAGGACCTTTGGTACTGTGCGTGAACGCCAAACCACTGGACCACTGAGCCGGTTTCTAAAGATATTAATGTATAACCGTGATCAATTCACAGAGATGCGCAACCTCACACACAGTCTTCGGTAGTAGTTACTGTCTACACTCGAACAGGTTGAACTTCACTGATCACGTCTTCCAAACTAGAACTCGGAGAAGATTCCTCACGAAGCTTGTCACTAGTGAGCACAGGTAATTTGGATTACGGGGTTGTGAAGATTGTTAGATTGTAGATGTATCAGATGCTAAACCAGAAAAAATAACTGTAGTCCACCTATAAGTACTTTGTCTTACTTTTCTCTTCTTTCCCTTATTTTAGATAATTGCTCTAACAACAACCCCATTCCCATTCCCTAGTCAACCAATCTGCACACAAACATTATTTATTGATTAACCGTCATGACCGAAATCAATGAATCGATTCACCTAAACTGTACCATACGTTATCTATTGAACAGTACCAATATCGATCCAACCTCAATATTCGATCGTTATCCTCAATGTGAATTACAACGTAAATTTATGCCAATCTTTTTATACATTGTCCGAACATTCATGTTGATTTGGTTAATCAGTGGTCTATTCGGCAATCTGCTGTCTTTTCTCATTTGGATATCAAAACAACAAAGACGTAAAAATAGTTCAGCTATCTATTTAGCCACTTTATCAATGACCGATTTAATATTGATTCTGTTATTGTTAAATTATGATTTGGAACGTTATTGGTGTATACGTGGTGTCACTATAATACCGGGTATTTGTCAAATATTTCAATGTCTATTCATATTTACACAATATTACTCGATTGCATTAGTATTCGGTTTCACATTAGAACGTTATTTGGCTGTATGCTTTCCATTCAAACGACATAAATTATGTACAACAAAGAAGGCGATTTTAGCTGTGATTATTTTATCATTATTTATTATTGGCCCCACATTATCACAAGCAATTTTATGGACTTTTGAAAATGGTGAATGTCGTATGCGTATCAATATTGTAATGGATGAGAAATTTCAAACCTTATTATTTGTACAAGAAGTTGTATTCTCGCTGGTTATACCATTAGCTACACTGGTATTTAATATTTTAGTATTATGTGAAATGAGACGTTTAATTAAATCAAGTCATTTAATGAAAATATCGAAATATCGTTCAGTGCATTCTTCATCTATGACAAATACTACTAATACTACTCATCATGAGAATATTAGTAGTATTGGTAATCATCATCAACAACAACAACAACCACAGTATCCGAATGATTCTATCAGTAGATTAACATTGAAACGAATCAATTATAAACAATTATTTAAACGACACACATCTAATCATACTACTGATAATGTAACAAGTAGTTTCAATAATACAACCGATGAGATGATGCCTGGTAGTCGACGTACGAACAGCTGTACCAGTTCTCAACCTCAACAGCATCAATCTAATCGTCATGACTCATCATTGGATACACCGAATTTCAGTCCAATGAAAACAACACGATTGAATTCCACCGGGGAGAATCAAAATCCAACCAAAGAATCATCACAATTCATTTCAGCGACATTAATGTTAATCATCTTATCATTTTATTTAATTGCATGCACAGTACCAACTGGCATTGTTTATCTTATACAATTTCATTGGTTACAACCAGACGACTGTTTAACCGATCAAATGGTTTATCAATCCCCTGAATGGTCATTATTTTTTCAACGTATTACAACAAAAGGTTTGATTGACGCGTTGTGTGCATCTCACTACGCTTGTAACTTTTTCATTTATTTTCTAACTTGTACTGGATTTAAGCGACAAGCATTGAATATTTTAAAGTGTAAATTCTCACGAATGCATTCTTCTTATTATGATAATCCAGATTATGGAACGGAAACGCTGATTCTGTCACGTCGTACTGCACCGAGATCATTGCGTCATTTGTCGGAGAATGATTTAAGTTTGGATGCGAATCATAAACCATTATTGATTTTTAATAATAATAATAATAATCCTACTCAGAATAATCATAACAGTTCTAGTTAATTAATGAATTCTTTATTATTTTTTAAAAGACAAAAACGATCACAGGCTTTCTGATAGGATTGTTCATTGATTTTTTTGATCACAATCATGTATGTATTGAATACTACTGATCAAGCGATTTGTCAGTAGTATGATTACATAGAAAAAATTTTATTCATCTTCATGAAATTGTTTGTTGACAATTTGAACATAATCTCTTTTTTATTTTTCAAGTGTATTCATCATTTTGTGCCTGTGCTTCTGTTATTCTTAATATTGGTTATCCATGTGCTGTCAATGTGTGTGCGTGTGTGTGTGTGCGCGCAAATGTGTTTGTTCAATGTACAATGTATACAAAATGGAACACTGTACACGATAATCTATTCCTGTTCCCGCCGTCCTGATCCTCCGCCCCACCCCACCCCCACGCCACCAGTTCTTGTACATCAGTCATTAAAATGTGTTTTTTTGTGTGTGACTGTTCATTGTTATTACTAGATCAATAAAATAATGTAATGTACTGTTTGTTTGTTTATACGTTACTTTCGTTTTCTAAAATTATGAATCAATCCAAGTTAGACGAGCATTAGAGACATGGAAGCACTGAAAGATGGCCGTGTCGGTCTTATAGTATAGGATTCACTGGCGGTGCGCATCTGAGACTCACACTACTCGCTGATAAGTTCCATACCGGGAAGAAACGGCCGTCTTTCAGTGCTTTCAGGTTTCTAATGGTAGTTTAACAATGATTCATTCATGATTTCAAAAAAAGGACATCCTTATAATCACAACAAATGATTCTAATGAAAAGAAAGGAAACCAGTTAAATTATACCATGTATTCAATGTACGATTCAAACTGAAGTTTGGACTGAAGAATAACTGTCTAGGTAGGTTAGATACGCTCCTTGCCCAGTTTAAAACCAAAACAAGTGATTTAGGTAAATAACGATTCTAATATTCATCGTCCTAAATATAAATATACGTCAATACCTTAACAAATATTACCACTCAGTTATTCCACCAACAATTGTTCAATCAGTCAAATCTAGAGCAGATTACTGATATTCTATCCATCCTGGGTAAATCAGATTCGTTCTACAGATAATATTTGGTTGCTTTATAACACAGAGTGCTTCTTATTCTGGAAGAGTGCATCAATTCACAATCAAAATGCACAATTCCAGTCAAAGCAAGCAACCGACACAATCAAATGAGGAGCAAATCAATCTGGCTGTCTCCATGACTAAGTATCAGCTAAAACAACATAAATACAGTTCAGAAAGAAACATAGAAACTCAGTGTATGTTAAAGAAATAGAAACTATCATAAAATACAAATATCATCATTTCAAAATGGAATCAAACAGGCTAACAAAATATACAACTGAAAGAATCAATGAGAACGAATTACAATTGTATACATGGAGGGATTTTCACAAAGAAACACCTTCAAAAAATGGATCTTACATTCAATGCCATTGAATTTTGAATGTCTGAATTAATACAGCAAGAAGTTATAGAAACAAATATATACATTGTTGATAAAAGTCAATAATAGACAACTCATTGAGTTCAAGTTTCTGTATATTTAGAAATAATCAAAAAAACAGAACTCTATACTGTAGAAAAGAAAGATTGTAGAAACAATCATTTCTTTTCCTTTCCAAAAAATTATCTTTACATCGGTCATCATCAAAATTGACAAGTTCAAAGATCAAGTTTCGTAAATAGTTGTTCTTTCAATCAGATTATTTAACCTTGATAGATAATATTTCAAATTGAATTGATGATAGAGATGTGAAGATTGTTGAGTTTCAGTGAAATCATAAATCAATCATTGTTAGATCACCGTTAGAAACTTTCAAGCATTTGGGGCGCAATGATCAATTCATGATTTCAAATGAAATTCATAAAAATGTGTTCACTAGTAAATAGCCTCATGAGGATATTCTCAGAGTACCAGTGAGAAGATGTAACTAGTTTAGTTCAATCGCCGTTGGATATGAGGCAGTTACCTACAATGAGTGAAGTTGCGCAACACCCTAGGTTGATTAAAGTTAGACATTACCGCAGTTAGATACCAGCTCAGTTGTCTAGAGAGAGATTAAGCGTTCGCTCATGGGGTCATCATTCATCATCAACAGCGATGTAGGACTTTGCACGTAAGTACATCAGTCCAACTTGCCATACCACGTTAGCACAGATGAGTAATTCAGAAGGTTAGAATTTCATAAAAGACAAAGAATAAATGCACCTGCGCCATTGCAAACGATTTTGCGCCATATAATTCAGAGTCTCTAACCTTCTGTTATTATCATCTCGAAGACCCCAACCAGGTAGTCGACACTTACCGACTTGACTCAGTCCACTTGTCAGTGACTTCATAGATTTTTGCCATGTTTTGGTCTGGCCGCCCCTAGCTTTTTTCCAACCTATTCCTACATCGTAAAACATAGCTCGACGAGGCAGTCGGTGGTTAGGCATACATAACACATATCCTAACCACCTCAACTGTTGAAGTTTCGTTACTTCGTCTATTGACCTACCATCCTTACCTAGCACCCATTTCCTAACAACAGCCTCATGAAGTCAAAGATCCTGGGTTTGATGTTCACCGAGCGGGTCGATGGGGATGCGCACTTCTGCTGATGAGTCCCATACTGTAGGATGAAATGGCTGCCTTTCAGTGCTTCCAGGTTTCTTCTAATGGTAGTTTAACAATGGTCATTTCATGATTTTAATGAAATTTCTTAATTTATTTGTAAACAACTTCATATTTGATAAAAAAATAATTCTATCAAATACAAATAACTTGCTTACTTACGCCTGTTACCCCCAATGAAGCATAGGTCGCCGATCAGTTTTCTCCGACCTAGTCTGTCCTAAGCTTCCCTTTCCAGTTCTTTGGCCTTCCTCCTTTCCTTTGACCTTGAGGGTTCCGTGTGAGGGATTGCATTGTGACGCAGTCGGGTGTGTCTAATCCACTTCCACCGTTTCTCCTTGATTTCCTGCTCCAATGGAATTTGGTTTGTTCTCTTCCAGTACGTTGTTGCTGATGGTGTCTGGCCAACGAATCCGAAGTATTTTGTGTGGAAAACTGTTAGTGAACACTTGTGTCCTGTGGATGATGGCTTTCGTAGTTCTCCATGTTTTCGCTCCATACAGTAGAACTGTCTTGACATTTGTATTGAAAATCGTGACTTTGGTTTTGGTTGAAAGTTGTTTGGAGTTCCAGATAGTTTTCAGTTGTAGAAATGCAGCCCTCGCTTTGCAAATCCGCGCCCTCACATCTGCATCGGATCCACCTTGATTGACGATGATGATGCTGCCCAGATATGTAAAGGTGTTAACGTGCTCCAAGGCATCTCTATCAAGAGTGATTTGGTTGTTGCATGTTGTGTTGCATCGGAGAATTTCGCTTTTTCCTTAATGTAGGTAGATCACCAGGAGAAAGAGAAAGGGTGAAAGTAAGCAACCTTGCCTAACACCGGTCTTCACCTCGAAACAATCTGTTAGCTGTCCTTCGTGTACGATTTTGCAGTTGAATCCCTCATAAGAATTCCGTATGATGTTAACTATTTTCTCAGGCACATTCAACATCTTGATGTTCATTAGTTCGCCTCAGCAGCAGGTCTCAACATAAATAAAGGGGAAAGCAAGATTTTCCGAGACAACACAACATGCACCAGCCAAATCCCTCTTGATGGACTCAGTGGTTAATCGTTTTTCTGAAATATCGGCCTTGGATTCGATCCTCACATACGAGGTTTTCGATTCGCACTGTTAATTAGTCCCATACTTGAACAAAACGACCGTCCATTGCTCTCAGATTTCCAATCAAGATTTAACGTTGATTGTTCCATGATTTCAATATCGAACCACGTCTATGACAATTCGTAAAAATTGATGCAGTGTTATTAATAATCTATCCATGTTCTTCATCTACGTTATAACAGATTTGTGAGAACGAAGTCATAGATTAGCAAAGACAGTACGAAATAGATAAAATATAGTTAGTAGTGAAATCTACGATACATGTTTCATCCTACTCCAGATTCGTCAACTGGATGTACGTGAATCCCATCCGGGACTCGAGATCCAGTACCTAAGAATCTTAGTGGATAGATAACGTGATTGCCTTTCAAGCAAATGGTACTAGGTTCAAGACTCAGAAATAAACATCAAATTCCAGGATACAGGTAAATTCAGTTGACATTATCTGAAATCCTCTGTCATCCTCATTTCATCTAAAAATTTTTTCATCAACTTGTATCATAACAGTCATAACAAGGTCGTCCACATGGGATACCCAAATGTGAAGCAAGATTTATCGAATTTCAGTCAAACATTATCAACAACAAGGTAATAATCTAATCTATTTCCAATGAAATTGATCATAACAAGAACACAAGATAAACAATTTCTTTGTAATTATTGAATATTGAATAGAACAGAATATTTAAAAAAACATACTTCAACCTTGATTGTTTTACAGATTAGGCAAAAAAAGAAGCTAACAGTCATTATCAATCAATAATCAATTCTCTTAATCAACAACTCATTTTGTAATTGACTACAATTTTAGTTATTGCTTTTTTATTTAAAATTTATTTGTCAATTAAAACAAGAAAATAGTGTCAATATTCAAACTAACGAGAAACATTATTGACTATTTTCTCCCCAGATGATGATTGTCTGTAATCATTAACGTTCGCTCTACGGTTTGTTTTAATTTGACTGTAGAATTAAATTGAATGTTAATTTGTTGAACACCATTGGATGCCGGCTCGGTCAGTGGTTAGGTGTTCGCGTGCTGAGTTCGAACCCTATGGGTAGCAGGTGTTGTGGATGTGTACTACCACTCTATGGCTGTGAAACATGGACAGTGAGAGTGGAAGATATTCGTCGGTTACTGGTTTTCGATCATAGGTGTCTTCGAAGCATTGCTCGTATATTGTGGGACACCCGAGTGAGCAACGCTGTTATTAGGAATCGGGTGCTAGGTAAGAATGGCAGATCA